CAAGTGTTTTGCAGGTCTATCGGGACAGTATCTCTCCATCGTCTTCTTGTTCTGCCTCGTGGTCTTCGACAAATTCCCTTGTCTATACAGTCAGATGTCGTCTGACTTTCTGTCAATATGCCACAACCATTGCAGTCCTCACGATGCCAGTTATCAATGGTGATTTAAACAGATTTTGAATTTCGTTGTTGCTTCTTAATCTCCGTTCACCGCTGTTTGCATCTTTGATGGGTCAAAAAATTAGTCGTAAGACTGTTTTCGAAAACCTGTAATGAGGCTTCATTTCTTTTAGTTGTTCTCCAAGTTTCAGAGCCACATAAAACGAGTGGTCTTATCAAAGTTATATATATTTTGATCTTAGTGTTGCGAAACAGACACTTTGACTTTAGCAGATGTTGAAGGGCATTGTTTACTTTATTTCCAGATTGTATTCTAGAGTTTAACTTTTACAGTTAATACAGTTTTCTTACAAGATACCTGTTTGAAGTGAAGTGCTGATAGAGTGTTCTCCCGTTTTACAATATAAAACTTACAGAGATTGCGTGTTTGTGTTGATTTATTTACAGATTATCGATTGTTTTTTCGTGCGTTTTTGCACGTATCTGTTGGCAGTTTATAAAGTGTTTTGGATTCTTGTCCTGCACATCAAGAAACGTTGCCTCTGCAAACAACACATGATAGTCACGTAGATCTTGTAGAGCAGCGTCACGGCTGAATACAACCATGGCGAACAAAGTCGACCATCATGTCTAAGGAAGATTCTGGTTGGTCGTGTGGCGTCTGATGACCAGACTTACGGATGACCACTCGACAGAAGTGACCAACTTGGCTATAGAAACCCCGAAGCTGATCCTTTACTGTCCACAGGGTCCTGACTGATTTGCTGTATTCTTCTAGTCGTGACCAAGGAGTGGTCATCAGTGCTGCTTCCACCATCGGCGATGTAATCAGCCCATCGTATTCCCCCGTATACAGAAGCACTTTGTATTTCTCGAGAATATCTGCCAACTTACCTTTGGTACTTTTAAATAAATCAGATTTGAACTTTTCTACGCTGTTCGCTTCATTAATGACCAAGAAGGGCCGTCCACACGAATGAACCATGCCTTTAATTGCCTCTGCGTTCATCAAGTAGTGCACACTCGAATAATCAGGATCAATAGATGTGACATAATTATTATTCCACTTTCCAGTAACCCACGGAAAAGCCATATTCATTAACGTTTCATACGACAATTTGTCCATATCTTCGCTTGACATGCTAGTAAGCTTTGTTACATCCTCCTTACATCTCATTAACCTAGTGTGAGATATGGCGCCAAACGAATAGAAAAACTCGCAGAATTCCGCGCTCTGGATTAAAGGATCGAAATATGGTCCGCCCAGATAGATGCCCGTTAGCGGGATTTTGGATGTTCCTTCCAGAATTCTGGTGTGTATTTGATGAGCGAAAGCGGGAACGTATTTGCCAGCATAGGACTGGCCACCGATGTAGAGCTCTCTAGTGTAGTAGACAGGAAACATCAGATAAAACTGTTTAATAAACAAATACAGCTCTTCGCTGTAGCCATCTTGTGTTGTCTTGGAGTTGTTGGTCTCCGAGTAGCTGAAACCCGTGCCAACGGGGTTGTCAATGTAAAGCATAGAGAAGGGATCAGCCCACGAGACTGGTCGTCTTTCGTAACTAATTGAGCCATTTGTGTGAGTTATCGTTCTTATCGGTCCATTTTCATAAAACAACCCAAACATTGAAGATATAGTTGGGCCCCCGTTAAGCCAGATCATTAGTGGTGCTTTGGTGTCATTAAGACTTGGGAAGAACCAGAAGAACAAATGGTTCCTGGCTTTTCTATCAGTTGTAAGAAATCCAGAATAGCTTTTTGGGATAACTCCATCAGGATCTTTAACCTCACTAAGTTCCAGAGCTGCCTTAATGTTCCCAGTATCGAGAAATGGTGTTAGAAGCAGCGGCGATACACATGCATTTTTGCAACGACACCGAACGATCAGCGCCAATAGTGAGACTAAGAGTAGATTAGTAATGCCCATCTTCCTGGAGAAAAAAAAGTCAGGAGACATTATTCAACAATTGATACTGGCAGACAAGATTAAGTCAGTGAAAGTAACGTATCTATAATAGCACCTCTTGTTTAGTTTAAAAATTAGCTAGAACAGCGTTTTTCCGCAGTGAAGTTAAATAATGCGGACACAAGACATTACACAATTTATTGTCAGGCATATTTCGCCTTGTCTCGTCAGGCGCGTTACTACAAAGTTAAACCAACATATAGGGAAGCACACACACACTGTCTCTCACACACATATAAATATAACACAAACACACAGAACACACATAGAACTTAATTATTTCCACTGAAATGCAAAGGGTCTGTTAATTTAATCGCTGAAAGTTCATCATGGCCATGTGACTTACAAGAGCAGCATCAAATTTAGAATGAATTCCTTTTGTTTACATAAGAGGGGATTGTTCATATCTTAT